ATGTAATGCCAGAGTAAAGTAAAGCCACAACTTACACAACAGTGTTCAGATCATTTACTTGACAAAATCAATATAATGCAATATTTCTATCTGCTGAATGTAAGCTTTTCCGAATTCCAAGCTTGCCTGCTGCACTGGGGACATCACATGCATGTGCAAATCCTGAAAATTATGTAAATAAATCTAGGAATTATTTGATTGTTGGATTTTAAATCAGCGGGGTTGAGGCATCAAAAGTAACTAAGCTGTTTTATGGATGGTAACTAATATTATTACTGAAATCATATTAGTAATTAGTTACACTACTAGTTACTGCAAAAAGTAATAGTATTACAGTAACTACGTTACTAGTAACTAGTTACTGCCCAACACTGCCGAACAATGACTAACGCGATCAAATAGAGGCACGCACTAATGCAGCAAACATGTCGGCAGTGTGAAAGTATTTAAAACTATCAGAGAAAGACACAGAAATCATTACAAGCACGAAGCACTGACAGCGAGAGACTGTTTAGTGCTGCATCACATGTCTCCGATGAGAAGAAGAGGTGGCTAATGCTGGTGGTTAGGCTACTGTATGATGATTGAAATCGCAAAATGGCCTCGAACGATTAGTAAATTGCATGAATTGCATGTATTCTGACAGCGCTGCACGAGCTCGCGGCGCCAGGATTCAAAGTCCAAAGCGTGAGGAAAATCTGTGCTGAAACTGTTACACGTTAGTTGCTCAGTAACATTTTTGTGATTTTTTTTTTTTTTTTAAAGGCATGTGACAATGTAATACGTGCGACAAACATCTTCCCAAATTGGCTATTTAATTTATGCATTGTGAAAAAAAATGGCAAAATAGGCCTACATGGGGGGGGAAATGCGAAAAACCGTGTTCGGTATTCGGCCTTCGGCCCAGTGTTTCATTTTCTTCGGCTTTGGCCAAGAATTTTCATTTCGGTGCATCCCTACCTCTATCCATAATATTGCTTTCTCTAGTGGGAAAAAGTCCTCTCGTCTGAATCAGGAGAGAAACATACACAGATCAAGCAAAAACAATTCTAAACAAAGTGACAACGTTCAACAGTTCTGTAGACACGGTGTTATTCTGACGGCACCCATTCGCTGCAGAGGATCCATTGGTGAGCAAGTGATGTACTACTAGATTTCTCCAAATCTGTTCTGATAAAGAAACAGACTCATCTACATAAGGATGACCTGAGGGTGAGTAGATTTTCAGCAAAGTACCATGGGTGATCTATTGAATTCTCTTACTGTTTTGATAAACCATATTGATTATATTTATTTATAACCTTAGTATTTGTAAATAAATATTATCTCAAATATTCAAGATATCTAGTATTGTAAAAGTACAACTTTTTCTGTGTTCTTTTCATATTTATTCAAGGTTTAAAAACTTTTGATTCCGCCTGTTCTGTTAACTTCTATTATGTTCTGTTTTGTCACAGCTTTTTTCTTCGGGGACCGTCCAGCTAACCACCACATCACGTGCCGAATTTGGGAATTTTGACATTAAAACGGTTATCCAGGAAATCAAGAGAGGAAAAAGAATGGTGAATTTTTCTAATTTTAATTTAAATAAATATAATGAATAGAATTCTGTATTAGTTTAATTTAATATAGAATTTCTAAACTTTGGTTTACACCAACATTTTTTATATATATTATTCTTTGTTTTCAGAATGATTTGGGTATATTAATTCATACAGTCACCTAATGTATTTTTGGTCATTTTTGTTAATTTCAGAAATGCACTCTGTGCGCGCAGCTTGGAGCCACTATTGGATGTGAGATAAAAGCCTGCGTAAAGACTTACCATTATCACTGTGGCCTGCAAGACAAGGCCAAATACATAGAGAATATGGCTAGAGGCATTTACAAGTATGTTTGTTTTCCTTATTTATACAAATATGATAAGTCTGGCAAGATCATTTTGGCCAGAATTAGCTTTTTTTTCCAAATGTTTTCACATTCTATATACATATTGAAACCATCAGGACAGCTATCACTTTAGCTTTACAGTATGAACATTCTGTTGTTCTCACCAGGCTTTATTGTAAGAATCACAGTGGAAATGAGGAAAGGGATGAGGAAGATGAGGAAAGAGAGAGTCGCAGTAAAGAGAAAGCTGCTATTGACAACAGAGCAGAACCTCCACCGCAGCTCAATGGCAACTAGGTGAGATTCTGCATACAGTATGTGTCCTTGGAAGGGAAATTCATGTCAGTACTAGTCATTGTACATGATACAGTGATTCATTTGGATGATTTGTTCAGTCTGTCATGACAGAATTTGATAATTATTCAGGACCAGGCAAATGTGATATTTTGATCGGTGGACATGAGGAAGATTAAAGTACTATCTTTTTTCAGATGCTGCACAAAGATGGAAGACATTATATGATGCGGATAAAATAAATATTTTTGTATAATCCTCAATTAGAAACTAGGGGCCAGTTCACAATATCTGACAATTTCAGTTTTCCTCTCTTTGACAGTATTTCATGGACATTGTGAATGAGAATGTAAGTTCATTATCAAATGCTATCAATATGTTACTGCAGTGTAAACCATAACATAGCTGGATAGGTTTTATTTAAACATATGGTATATTAATACTCAAACCAAATGATTGGACGGCTGGAACAGTGTCATCTGTTTGTGCTTGCACCTCCAGTTTCCTCTTTGGCACCGCTCTTTGACTGGACCCACTCTAAAAAGACTGCCCTCCGACTGTTTATAGTGCATCTCCTCCAAACTATGCCGTTTAATAAGCCGCCGCCTTCATGAAACTGTCTTTATCTCTTTTTTTTCTCTCTTGCAACATGTATTATATTTTATTACTGTATTATACTCATGAGTACTATTGGATATCTGTGGTTTTCTTTATAGTACAGGTTAGGATTAAAGAATATTGGCTAGCATGCACTTTTCTTTACTCCGTCTCACATGGTGGTCTTTCTTTTTTTCTGTATATGCACATGTTCCACAAAGGCATTGTGTGCTTTGTTTTCAGTTGTACATTTGGTGGCAATAATTCAAAATAAGAGTCCTTCTGAAAGGCAGAAGCTTTCAAACATACTTGAAGACACTGAGGAAAAAAAGCTTAATACAAAATATTATATTCTAGATTTTATTATGAGTCAGAATTTTGTGTCTGGATGCAGTTGTCAGCTGTGCAGTTGTGGCAGGTTTTTTTTTTGTGTGTGTGTAAAAGTCAACAACTTGATGCATGCATATATATATATATATATATATATATATATATATATATATATATATAGTTTTTTTTCCCAAGCCTTTACATTTCCACTGTTACTGCTCAGGAAGGAAACGTACAAGCTGCGTCTCATTTCGGAGGCTGTGTCCTCCCAGAGGTCGCATTTGTAGGTTGCATGCGTCAACAAGGATATCTTATTTAAGAAAAGTAACCGTAATAAAATTTGACCTCAGGAGGACGCAGCATCCTAAATGAGACACAGTTTATTGAGTAATTTGTCATTTGAATGAAGAACCTGCCATTAATGAACCTATGGATCGACTTTTTGGTTACATTTCAATTAAAGGTGTCCTTGTTACACTGTAATTTAACATTTAGATACTGAATAATATTAATTAACAACATGTACTTACTATAGGGTTTAGTTTATCGTTAGTCACATCACATGTGAATATGCATAATCTACTGTTATTACTATAGTAAGTTCATGTAATGTGTGACAAGGACACTAAAAAAAAAAAGTGTTACTGACTTTTCTTTACCATTTAGGTTGTAAAACATTAAAGGGGTCATATGATGCGATTTCAATTTTTCCTTTCTCTTTGAAGTGTTACAAGCTCTTGGTGCATAAAGAAGATCTGTAAATTTGCAAAGACTAAAGTCTCAAATCCAAAGAGATATTTTTTTATAAAAGTTAAGAGCCAACCACACCTACCTAAAATGGCTCGTTCTAACACGCCCCCACATGTTTACGTCACGATGTGGGAAGATTTTTTGGCCTTTTAAAAGAGGACGATATCTGCTTCGTCATGCCTGGAGCTGATCCGTGCTGGTTGCTGAGGAAATACATCAACTTCGCGCTGTGGATCGCCGGATCGGCTTTCACCGTGGACGAAGCGGAGTCCAGCCCGGGGTCGTCACATGTGGTTGCCGCAAGCCCACCGGCCGCGCCGTTCTCAGGCCCACTGGCCGCCGCTCACTCTAGCCTGCCGTGTGTGACGCTGTGTTTCGTTGTGAACGCGAAACTACTTTGTTTGGCCTTCCAAAAGGACACGACTACAAATCAGTGTTCCAGAACAGTTTAACCCAAATATTCAGATGTGTCCAGCGCATTTTATGGAGGACTGTTTCCTGATCCTGGTAGAGTAGACTACAATGCCGGCTGTTCTGACTCACAGACTGTAGAGTAATTTGGTGGGTCTGTCACTTTAAATTAGAGTGTAGTCCTTGTGCTCCACGCTGATTGGTCGACAGGCTGTAGTCCTCCTCAAATGCTAAAACACCCACATTTGTGATGTGAGGAAGATTACAGAATTGTGCTCGCTCAGTCCTTTAAAGGTGAAATTGAGAACAGGAAGGACTACAACTTCCCCCGGCATTTCTCATCAGAATCAAGGGCGTTTGCAGCAGCTCAGTCGGGACGGACATGGCGTCTGCCAGCTCCTGTGTCGTGGTAGGAGTTACTGTACACACTCATGCCTTAAGTCATTTACACCGGCCGGCGCGTGACCATTGATTAGTCACTGTACACAAATAATTAGGAAGTGTGTTTTAGTATAAAACTTTTTTTTTTTGTTACTGCCCTTTTATTCTAATAAATTGTCCTGTTTGCATACATAAATGTATTTAGTGATTCATAAATATGTCTATGAAGTCTAGGGGCCTGGAGGGAAAGCACGCGTTTCACGCATGGCACATGCAGCCCATTCACTTCTGCACGATTTCGATAAAAATGAGAAAGAAGCGCTGCACGTGCTCGGTTGTATGATTTATCAGATTCCCTGATCAGTGGGTGAAAACGGATGAATGGACGAGTAGCGCGTTCGGGTCGAAAAGTGCAATTCGTTTTAGTTTGTTATAAAGTGATGATAAATGTAACGGGCTTTGTGGAAAGGGTGCCGTAGTGAGCTAATGAGAATGATTCACAGCTTTTTCAAGGAGACTCAGGGGAATCAACCATCGTCCTCCGCCCTAAATTAAGATATTATCTTGAGGGTATGATTTTAGACCGACCCATCCCGCGCTTTGTAATACGTGATTGGATTTATTAATTAATCAAAAGGTGCCCTATACACTCTTAAAGGGACAGTTCATAGTATAATTTTAGTTCTGTCGGTCAGTTCTGACCTCTCACCCACGTGTCGTTACAATTCAGTATAGCTTTCCTTTCTTCTGCAAAACACCAAATACACAGTTTTTAAGCATGTCCTGATCAGCATTTCCCATGTGACAATGAGTAGTGAGTGAAGATATCAAGCCTCAGAAGGCTGCAGAATCACCTAAAACCAGGGGTAGGCAAGTTCGGTCCTAGAGAGCCGCAGTCCCGCAGAGTTCAGCTCCAACCCTGAAAAAAAACTCACCTGCCTATAGCCTTAGTAATCCTGAAGACATTGATTAGCTTGTTCAGGTGTGTTTGATTAGGGTTGGAGCTGAACTCTGCAGGACTGCGGCTCTCTAGGACCGAACTTGCCTACCCCTGACCTAAAACTTTCAAATACTCATAATAAACCAAACAATAGCAACTTGAGGAACACTGAACACATCATAGCTTAAGTCAGTATTCGCTGAAAATATGTACTTGCAGTTTGCTGTTGGTGCAAACAGATCATTGAGTGCCTGAGTTGAACATGAGAACCAAACCAGTCTGCTTTTTGAATGAATCATTCTGGACTGCATTTCCTAAAGAGTTGTAAAGATATTGTTCAACCAAAAATAAAAATTCTGTCATCATTTACTCACCCTCCACTTGTTCCAAACTTGTATGAGCTTCTTCAGTTGACTTCCATAGTGGTTTTTTTTCCATACTGTGGAAGTCATTGAGGACCAACAACTGTTTGGTTACCAACATTCTTTAAAAATACTCATACAATAAGCAACTCACAGATTTGGAACAACTTGAGGATGAGTAAATGATGACAGAATTTCCATTTTTGGGTGAACTATCCCTTGAAGCCTAATATCGTGGAAACTATTGGCACTAGTGCTCTCTACCAGTAGGCTTAATGCTTTTGGGAAACGGCCCTGATCAGTTTTGTAAACTGGAGCAATGATTTATTGAAAATATACAATTCCAACAAACTGTTTATAGTATGTGTGCTTTTCTCACATACTATAATGAACGGCAAGGCGAGCTAGGGTGGATTTCAGGATCTTCAATAGATACCAATTTAAGTTTAGGTCTGTTCCTCATATAATCTCTATTGCATGACTTCAGAAGGCATGTAATATAGTGCACAAGTGGACCATGTTCATGTTTTTTTTTTTCGTGGTGATTCTGAATCCTTTTTTAGGCATGTTCAATCACACTGTTGACTTCAGTCTACAGTATCCAGGGACACACCAAAGAGTTAGGTATATACACTCTGGGAATTCTGTTACCTGAAGAGCTAAAATAATAATCACCAATTTATTTGCATTCTTAATGCAGAACATTGGCTCAATATCCTGATACAGCTGAGGAAAGACGTGACATGCATGTGAGTCTACAGCAGGAATTTCGTTGGTGTGAAATATGGCTCACTAGATCTGACAGCACACAGACTTAATGTATGCTCCGGCAGCAATATTAGAAACTAAATTTTGGCTTGCAGCCATTGCATACTACACTTTAAATTCCATGTCTTATCATGTATCAATATCTATTTCTTTTGTGAATGACATGAGGGTGTATCCCTTTGAGTGTCTTTTTTTCACTGTTATATTATCTGCAAATACAGATTTGTACACTACAAGTGCACAACACGTGCACACTCAATACAATTAAGCACACTTCTTTTTCACTAGGGAAGACTCTTCACTTACCTCAACATTTACACTCATGAAATGGTGTGAAACTGATCTTCACCCCGACCATCCTTGTTTATTTGTACAGCTTGTCTTTCACACTCCGCACTGTAACAGTATTGGCAATGCGTTTGTAACTGTATTCTTACTATTACGTTTAGTCTAAGTCGTTTCTAGGGCATATGCTTAAGAAACTCTCAGTTAGATTATATGTGCACTTTTTTTTTAAAGTCACTTTGGTAAGGACGTCTCTGTCGAGAACATAACTGCAGATGTTAGAGACAAATGCTGTCACAACTCACCAGTGCATTTGAGAGCTGATTAGGCAATAGGACATAAGCTTTCCCCTACTGCCCTATTTCAGGTTTGTCCTTCTGTCGACTAGATAAAATGTTATCTGTCAAACAGTCTGCTCCCTGTTCTTTGCCCTATCATCTATGATATGATGTCATTTGTGCATTTTAGATCAGTGATGAGGAGCAAGGTTATGACCTGGACCTCTTCTGTATACCAAAACATTATGCGGCTGACCTGGAGCGGGTGTATATTCCACATGGACTCATCATGGACCGGTACGAGCCACATCAAACAAGTTATTTTCTTAGCCAAGGCTTGCCTAATGAACACTCAAATTTCAAATAACATGCAACCTGAAGACTGTTGACATTGCATATTGGCTGATTAGTTTCTCCTGACTCCTACAGAACTGAACGTCTGGCCAGAGATATCATGAAGGACATGGGCGAGCATCATATTGTGGCTCTGTGTGTGCTCAAAGGGGGCTACAAGTTTTTTGCTGACCTCTTAGATTACATCAAAGCCCTTAATCGCAACAGCGATCGTTCCATTCCCATGACAGTGGACTTCATCCGCCTCAAGAGTTACCAAGTACGCCTATTATTCATTTGTCCTATTTGATGAATGTTAACTTAATGTTAAATTCAGTCAGGCCTGTCTACTCCTTTCTGTTTATTGTCAACGTGTGAATTTAATTATTTTGACAACATAAATGAAAATTGACACTTTGTGGTACAAACTTGTTTCAGAGTTAAGTGTTGATGTTACTTCAGTAACTAGAACACTTTAATGTCTGGACTGACTCGTGTAAATGTCTGAATCTATGCATTCCCCTTCTTTAAATATTACAGAATGACCAATCTACAGGTGACATCAAAGTGATCGGCGGAGATGATCTGTCCACACTCACAGGAAAGGTAAGCATCTTTCTGTGAATTAAAAACTATCCCCATTATTTCATAGTAGTCTTTATGATAATGTCATTCAGTAACTTTCTGTGACATGCTTTCAATTACCAGTAAAAAATGTACCTTGGTTTGTTAAAAAAAAGAAAAAAATTTAAATCCATCACTGTCAACACTTTGTCTCAAAATTAATTTCTGTGGTCAGATTAATTTTATAATAATAAATATTATAATTATAATAATATTTTTATTCTGCGAAGATACATGAAATTGATCAAAAGTGACAGTAAGACATTACAAAAGATTGTATTTCAAATAAATGTTGTTCTTTTGGACTTTAATAATAAGAAATGTTTCTTGAGCACCAAATCTGCAAATTAGAATGATTTCTGAAGAATCATGTGACACTGAAGACTGGAGTAATGATGCTTTGTATCACTGGAATAAATTACATTTTAAAATATATTACAATAGAAAACGGTCACTACTGTATTTTGATCAAATAAATGCAGCCTTGGTGAACATAAGAGACTTCTTTCAAAAAGATTACAAATTCATATCAACCCCAAACTTTTGAATGAAAGTGTATGATCAGTAATAAAAAAAAAAATGCATGTTTTAGGCATAGAGGAAAAATGACAGCCAGTGGCTGATCAAATACTGTTGTTGCAGTCTCTTAAACATATCAAAATGTGTTAAAACTGTTTCTCTTTTTCTCTTGACATATTCTTTTTGACATCAAAAGAACGTCTTGATTGTTGAGGTATATGTAAATGTATTTTTACTTTTATATTTAAAATAGTTTGTATTATCCAACAAATGTTAAATGTGTTTCTGTAACCTTTACTCTGTTTATTAGGACATCATTGATACTGGGAAGACAATGAAGACCCTGCTAGAACTTCTCAAGCAATATAATCCAAAAATGGTCAAAGTGGCCAGGTACAGATGAATATACTGAATAAAATGGAGGTAACCAGTGTGTCTCAGAGTGTTTGTTTTGTAGGTATTGCATCAGCTTTTGTAAGCTGTATGTAAATGTTGCTAAGCTCTGTATAGTAACTCCCTTGTCTATTATTGAGCACTAGTGCAACAAATGCCAGAAACTTCTAACTACTTTTGAGTTTATCAGTTGTACGGTCCCATATACTTCACATATTCCTAAAAAAAATGTTTTGTTTTTTTTGGCAGTTTGCTGGTTAAAAGAACACCAAGGAGTGTTGGCTACAGACCAGACTGTGAGTGGATTACTGAAAACGCTTTCCAGCCTTTTTTGGCATGAAATTCTGCGTATATGGCATTGATATAGTTAGAATTCAATTCACTTCTCACAAGTCATGTTTATAAATGGATGCATGCTGATGATTTCAAAAGGTTGCACAAACACCCTCAAAAGACTAAAGCGCATTGTTGTTGTTTTTTAAGGGAATCAAGTCAATTATTTTGACCACTGAAATTCCTTCTATTGATCAGTCTAGGCCAGTGGTTCCCAATCCTGGTCCTGGAGAACCCCCAACACTGCACATTTTTGGTGTCTCTCTTATCTGACACTCACATTTGAGGTCTTGGAGCAGGGGTGCCCAAACTCGGTCCTGGAGGGCCGGTGTCCTGCAGAGTTTAGCTCCAACTTGCCTCAACACACCTGCCTTTAAGTTTCTAGTATGCCTAGTAAGAGCGAGACATCTAAAATGTGCAGTGTTGGGGGTTCTCCAGGATTGGGAACCACTGGTCTAGGCCATTACAGTGCAATGCTGTGTGTTGACCACAAGGTAGCAGACTAACACGTGGTAACTGATCATTTCCATAGTTGCCACAAAAATATTAGCCAAAGTTTTCAGCTTTGATAATCAGAAATATTTCTTGAGCAGCAAATCAGTATATTAGAATGATTTCTGAAGGATCATGTGACACTAGAGTAATGGCTGCTGAAAATAAAAAAATTACTTTAAAAAAATATATTCAAATAGAAAAACTGTTATTTTAAATTGTAATAATATTTCACTATATTACCGTTTTTACTGTATTTTAAGCCTTGATGAGCATAAGAGACTTCATTCAAAAATATGTCACCGACCAAGAAATTGCCTGTTCAAAATAACTTTTTAATTAACCCCCCTTTATCCTCTAGTCGTAGGATTTGAGGTTCCTGACAAATTTGTGGTTGGATATGCACTTGACTACAATGAGTACTTTAGGGATTTAAATGTAAGTAGCAACATTTAATCATTTAGAATGCCTTTATAATTTAAATACAAATAGTTGTCCATTATAAGACACGCATCTGTTTGATTGTGCTGCAATTTCTGCTAACAGCTTCTCTCATTTTGTCTTGCAGCACATCTGTGTCATCAGTGAAACCGGAAAGGAGAAGTACAAAGCATGAGAAGCCCTGGACTTCCCCCTCTAACTGTGTATCATTTGTTTTTAATTGATGTTTTTTTATTATTATAATTTTATGTCCATTTTGTATTTTTTCAGTTGCACAGCTCACCGCAGGTTAGCAGGTCCTTTGTTCAGGGTCTCTGGTGAGGTGTGTGCTGTCAATCAATGCACCTTACATTTACATTAGCTTATACCTCCACAGGCATCTCACACACACATTAGTAACCACAAACACTTTGCAGTTCAGTCTCTGAGAACAGAGGTCTCGGGGTTAGACTGCTGCTCTTCATTACAGTGGGTGTTTTTAACAACCATTTATGTAATGGCCAGATTCCCTTTGATTTATTATAACCTTTTTTTTTTTTTTTCGTGCAAGAACTTATGAATAGGTGTTTATGATTTAAGACTAGATAGATTAAACAGATTATTGATTTTAGGTTGTCTTGCTTTGCTATTCAATAGTGAACATACAATATGTGAATTTGAGGAGAACATTCATGTTTCCCCAAAGACTATTTGCAACCATAATATGAACACTGTTATTATTGATTAAAATCAGTGAGTATTGTGATACATGTTAAATGCTTTTACATGTGAATGTACTTTAGCACCAGGGCAACCTGGTTTTCCAATCATTTCAAATTTATTGACATTTTAAAGCCAAATATCACCCTGTTTTTATGATTTTATTTTTTTGTTATTTGTATTTGTTTAATTTTCTTGTCAAGATATTTATTTGTCCACTTACTGTAGTTTTGGTTACTAATTATATTAATGAGATTGAAATGAAATGGAGAAAAAATCTTATGGTGCCTTGTATGGTAATTTGTACGCTACCATATAATATATGTTATGAGAATGAGTGAAAAACTGATCTGAAATGTTCATGTGACCTCACCATTGTTCAGTCACCTGTCAATCTTAAATTTTATTAAATTATTAAAAGAATTTTAAGTGTTCTCCTAACTTCTCTTTTCAAAGTCATTAATAACATTGTTGAATAGGTCACATTATCAGGTAGTTTGTTTTAGGAATAAATAGTATAGGAATAAACCTAATGTTGTTCTTGCATTTACAGTATTTTCAGAAATAACAACATGAAGAACCAGGTACGCGTAATGAAATATATATATATATATGGTATGAAAATGAATGAAAAATGTTAAAGTGACCTCACCATTGTTCAACCGCCTGTCAATCGTAAATTTGATTAAATTATTCAAAGAATTTTGTGTTCTCCTAACTTTACTTCTCTTGTCAAAGTCATGACCAACATTGTTAAACAGGTCACATTATCACGTAGTATGTTTTAGAAATAAATAGTATAAGAATAAACATACTATTGTTCTGCATACGTCTTGAACTTACAATAGAAATGACAACATGAAGAACCAGGTACGCATAATGAAATAAGATCACTTAGCTGACTGCTGATTTTATTTGACAGTATTGTTTATCTACAGTACAGACAGGTGGTGTTTTCATCACATAAATGCATGGGTATGGTCCGCTCTCGGCCAAGGATCTGGTGTGGCTCTTTGGAGTCTGTAAGTGTTGACAGGTCTTACTACAGCAGAACAACAATACTGGATAACACCACATTCACCTCCAGTATTTATGTGCTGCTATAGTACATTCCCTTTAGATCTGCAGGTCTCTTGCTGGGTTACTGAAATGTTGCTGGTGGAACAGACAACTCCTCTAGCAGCATTTCCATAATCAAAAAAGCAAGACGAGCTGCTAGTGTTGTTACAGAGCAACTGACATGTTTAGTCTTCTTCTCTCAGTATGGCTTCAACTTGTTATTGCAAGTGTGATGACCATATTATTTTTTTAAAAGGTTAAACCTAATAATAATTCTTGGATTACATAAAACTAGTGTTAAGATATGTCATTTTTTTAAATTCTAAAAATATATCAGCTATCACAACGCACCTGTCTATATAATTATGGAAATATTTCTGTGTTATCGATAGTTCCACATGTCATTAAGAGGACGAGCGCCCCTGATGGGTCTGAGAGGAACAACAGGGTGGTAAAATAGGCCTCAAGCTTATATCAAATGTTCTCTAACTAAAAATAAATAAATAATAATAAATTAAAAAAGCAGGATTCTTTGTATTAGGTAATTAAAAAGATCTATATAAAACGATAAATATGAAAATACAACCTGCAAATGCATAAACCAGATAAAAAAGTATTTTAGAGTTTCTGTTCATTTCGTATTATTAAAGATACATTTGCACTTAAATAATGGGAATTTATTATTTCAAACGCTGGTGTGTTGTTTGTACCCTAGTTGTTGGTTAGCAACTATTGAAGAACAAAAAATAAGAGCCCTTGCCAGGCAGACATGACCAGACTTATCCTCAATACCTGTCACGGTCAGGCTTTACTTGTTCTTTAAATAAATAAATATGTACATTAAAAATTTTAATAAAATAAAAATATAAGGAATTTATAGAAAACCTGACTGGCTACATTGAAAAAAAAAACTAGCTGAACACACACTTACACGTTTGCTAAACTGAATCATCAGCGTATTTACGGCAAGTCAAAGTAATAATATAACATGTGAAGATTATAATAGAAATAGTTTATTTAATATTTTGTACAGGCCATGCTGAGGTGGTAAGAAAAACTCCAGAGACGCACATTCAGCTGGATGCCACATACAGGGTGTAGTTAACTGCTGCCTACTCAGCATTTTTACAACTCTATATAACAACAGAAATAGCCTCCGTTTCAAGTGTGCGGAATCAAAAATTAAAAAGTACAAATATATATTTCCAACCTAAATGTTAGTTGCCGGCTTCCTTCGAATACAGTGTAAATCAACAGACCGTGGGGTGTTTCCTCAGTTGCGACTATGCAGGTTCCCTAAATAGACAACTTCGTACTAATAATAAAAGAGGATGTTGGTTATGAAGATATATTGAGAAATGCGAGTTAAATACAAACGACCGATAAAAACGCGAACTTTTAATTGACGCGTCAAAATGAAACATCTTTCAGATTATGAGCATGCAGACCAAGTTACATTAAAGTGTGATACTTTTCTCCGCGCGGCACCGTTTTCAAACAAAGGCTCAAAAGTAGTGAAGGCGACTCAACGCTAAGAGGCGCGTTAAACACCTCCGTCTCTCTCGGTAGGTCAGACGCTTCAGAAATTAATGAACAACACACAACTTGACAGCGTGAGAACACGGAGGGGGGGAAAATCCTGAAAAATAATTCCTCAAAAAATCCAAACTTACCTCGGTTTCAATCGAAAATGGCGCCGAAATGTAAAAAAACGCACCAAATTTCATTGTATGGTCTCCTGCAAAGCTTTGTGGGAGCGTGAGCTGTACAACATCCCCGTAGAGTAACGGTGGAGGAGTGCAACTGCAGTGTCGTGGCACGTTTACTACTAAGACACACTGTATTCCCCTCAGGATGTTGTCATGCCTTTTGAAGCAGCCAACTTGTTCTCAACACACAGAGTTTCTGAATTGAATGGGGTATATTCTAATAAAAACCATATTAGCCTTATAATTCAACCTCATAATTGTCTCCATACACGTTTTGTTAGTAATACAAGCTTAATGCAACCATTGTTGTCTTCTTTCTGCTCACTTGTTTATTAAGCTCCCAACTTTCTGAATCTTTAAACATACAACTTTTTCTACATAGTATTTTTTGTTATTATTGTTTTAATAGAGGTGATTTTCATCTACTAAAGTTAGCCGGAGTTACCATCACCTGACCTGTGTAATGACATTGCAGTCGCCTGGCTCAAAATCTTGTGTCTCTCATTAGAAGAAGAGAAAAGAAAGATTGTCTGCTGCCAGACAAGAGGCCTAGCAGTGAGCTGTAAAGAAACATGTGACTCTGGTGTTGCTCATTGCTGGTGTCTTCTGTGCAAAGCCATTTTATGCAAAATTAGGTTTTAGGGTGGAGTGTCATCACACAGTGATGTGTAATATTGTTGGACATGTATAGATGGAGGTTAAGGTCTGAGACATGTGGAAATGATAAGTAAAGCTTAATGGCCGTGTCCTTATGCTTAGCCTAAATGAAGAGACCCCCCCCCCCCCCTTTTTTTTTTTAAATTT